TCCATTCTTGTCTAATCCACAGACACCATCAGTTCCTCTACTGCAGTCCCTTGAGTCTGTTTTGCTACACTCCACTAGGTGGTTAATGGCTTCTGGTTTGCTATTTATTGCTTCTAATTAACTGCTTGGATCACAGCCCTCAGGTATTAATTTAGTACTTGATTTCTTGAAGTTGTAACCAAAAAGTATCTGTTTAAATCTCAGAGCTACTGCATCAGCCTCGTTCTTTTTCCAGACTGCCTGAATTGTTTCTGCTTATCAGTCATACAGTGAAATGAAAAATTTAAATGCCCAGGGACTTTGTGAACTAGAACATTCCACATACATGGGGAGCCTGTTTAGCACAGTTTTCATGGTGGCACTCCACCACTCAGGAACCTGCAGTTCCCAACTGTCTACCCTAGCAATTCCAAGCCCCTCTTCTCAAGTTTGCCCATAAAAATACTCCATCCTGCCTGTCACACTGCATTTCCTAGTGCAAGTCAACAGGGACCCTCTGTTCCAAACAGGCTGGATACCTTGTACTACCCTCATCCAAAAAGTCAATCAACAAACGCACCCAGTTCTCTGCTACTGTCTAGTTGTGTGAATTTGGCTACAATGTGTAAATTTTCTGCGGGTCAGTTTCCTTAACTCTAAAGTGGGGATAATAGTAGCATCTAAGTCAGAGCGCCTCACTATAAAGATTAAAATTAATAGGAATAAGGTACTTAGAACAGTGACTGGCACAGAGCAAGCACTGTTAAAAGTTAGCTCCAATTAGTGTTATTAGCAGGCTACATTCATGGAGATAAATTAGATGCAGATTATTTACCTTTAAATTATTTAGCCTTTCTGTGATGTGTTTCAGTTTTATTTTCCTATCTCAACTTCAGTAAAAGATTTGGAGATTATAAGCTATCTCCTGCCCACAAACAGTATATATAAACTGTTTCTACTTTTTTACTGAACAAGGTGATAACTATCTTTGCTCAAACCAAAATACAAATGAAGAGGTACTATAAACAAAAAAGAAGTGTGTGTGTTGGTCTTTTTATTCTCAGACAGCACAGATCTATGCACCACAAGGGGAAAAGCACCCCAAATGTTGTTACGTATGGTGATGAGTTCTGTATCCACATACGATATATGGTAGATGTAGGAAGAAGAATAGAGGCAGGGGAAGGAAATCCAGCCCTTTCCCCCAAGCTCTGTTCTTACTAGCCTTACTAACTCTTTCCCAATGTTGGAAAAATTGTGATCAGAACTCGATGGTCAGAAACTCACTGATTGGGCCACGTTTTATAAATGGTCTGATAACTATGCCTTAAAGATAAGCAACCGTGAATGGTGTTCCGCAAGCCAGCTACAGCTACCTTCATCCATGTGGCTGGCTGGTGAGACTCAGACCTGGCCTGCCGAGCTTAGCAGCAGGGAAAAAGGGAGCAGGAGGCTTCACTTGGGACTTAACTTGAAGCCAACGTCCAACTTGATTTTTTTCAGGGAATCCTCAGAAAAGGATGTTTGACTATAACCATGCGGTAATCCATTTTTACGTTCTACTCCTGTTCTGAATATATTGATTCTGGATTGAGATCCTCATGGGGAAGAGGTCTGAGTAACAGGATTCAAGCACCAAAAAACCTATCCAAATTCTTGACTACAGAGCACACAGAGGGTCGTGGCATGGTTAGACACTGTGCTGTGGGAGAATACCCTCGCCTGGCAGAGGGTGGGAGAAAAGCAGGGAAGGCTCCGTGGAAGAGGCAGCATTTGAGCTGGGGCTGCAAGGACGAGTAGCACAGGCTAAGACAGCGGGAAGCCCCAAGAATTCTGAAAACCAGCATCATCAAACAAAAACAATTTAAATTCAAGTCTATGAACATGTTAGGGTGTAATCAGAGACACCAAATCAGCTAATTTTCGAGCCTCTGGCCTTGGAGGTCTTGGGCAATCTACACACTAGAGAAAGGGTCTCTGGACAAGATGGGCAATGGTCATTGGGCTTTCCCATAGTTTTAGGGAATTCTCCATCCCCACCCCCGTTATTCTAATTCCTTTTTTCTGATTTCATACTACTGGGCCACTTTCTCATTAAAATTCAGTTTCCTGGCTACTTTGAACCTGAGAAGGGGGTGCCCTGCATAGAGGAAACAAGCAGTCAAATCACTGGAAAAAGACAACCCCACTGGCACTGAGAGGAGGAAAAAATACTTTAAAGGTACCATTCCTGCCCCTTCACTTGCCACTGCCTCCAAAATTAACTAGGCTACGTCCTTTCTTCTCCACTGAATTCTTCCCAGGGAAATCCACCCCGTACCTCTCATTTCTTGAATCCATCAACTATTTTAAGCCTTCCCTGCGTCTCGTCATGGCACATGACACTCTTCCTGATGCTCTTTTTTCTTTCATCTTCTGGGTGGGACACCTTTCTGGGACATTTCCTGGTTCTGCTTCTCCCTCTCTGGCAGTACCCTTTTAAGACAGTGTCACTGATTATTTCTAAGGGTCTTGGGAAAGTTTCTACTCAGGACCAAGGGGGCTAAAGCCTGAGCCCAGGGTAATCCAGTAGAGGTAATCCAGCGGCCCCTGAAAGGCTCACCCCACAAACACCCCCACGAGCACCCACCAGATGGTTGTAGGATCAGCCTTTGAAAATAAGTGAAATAGTCAGAGAGAAGACTAGAAGAATGGGCAGTGAGAGCTCAGCGTGGGGAAAGGGGAGGAGTGAAGATGGTTGTAAATGAAAGATGGGTCAGAGAGAAAATTCTGGGTAAAGGAGCTGAAGCTTCATCTAGGGCGCAGGTTGGAACCATCACAGATTTTTAGGGTTAGAGCTGGGCTTCAGGTTATATGCGCAGAGTGGGTGCAAGTGGCAGGCAGACCAGCTAGGGATTTGTGCACATGTCATAGGCTCTGCTGCCCCTGTGGGGTCATCTTACCTAAATGTCCCCCCATTGTGTCCCACCAAAGTCGCTCATACTTCCTGGTTCAACTCCACAAAGCTTTCCTTATGACTGTGGCCCACCTGATTTCCATGTTCATAAGACTGCCTGGACTATACCACCAACTTCATTCTCTCTGTATATAGAAACTGACGTAGAGTCTGACCTTGTTCTCCATTTGTTAGGTATACACGCCCAATGAGAATATAACCTCTCACCTGGCAGTGTGCTAGGCTGACTTTGAACAGAATAACTATGTACTAGATGCTTTCAGAAACAGATGGGTTTTGGACTACTTATTCTTTTCCAGAGTGACAGATTCTACTTCTGCCTACTCCCCATTCTCTCCTTCTCCCTGGCCACATGGCTGCCAAGATAGAAGACCACGCTTCCCAGCCTCCCTTGTAGCTAGGTCATATAATTACGTTCTTGCCAAAGGAAGGTGAGCAGCAGTGATGTGTGCAACCAGCCTAAAAGGTAATTGCTTGTCCCAGACTTCCTCTCTTTCTCCTTCCCTCAGACTTGAATAAAGACATGCAGGCTACTTGACTTCCAGGCAGGTAAGGACAAAGCCCTAGGAGGTTGGGGAACAACAACACGGAAGGAACCCAGGTTCCTAAATGACGTTGTGGAACAGAGCTGGTTCATCAGCCCAGACCAGCCAAACTCATGTGAGAGAAAAATAAACCATCTTATTTAAGCCACTATAGGTTGGGGTCCCTGTTTCAGAAGTCAAGCCTGTACCCAACCAATATATTTCCCCAAATCCATTATCTCCATTTTCCTTTATACAATAATTCCAATTTTTGAATTGGGCATATTACTTCCCAGCTAAAAGGGTACATTTCCCAGCCTCCTTTGCACCTATGTGTGACATCAAGACTAAGTTGTGGCTAACGAAGTTCAAGTAGAACTGTTACATAGGACTTCTGAGTAATCTCCATATAAAGGAGTCAGTGACCTTCTTCTTCCCACTTCCTCTTTCCCACTGTCTGGAAAATGAATTTAATGGCTGGAGATCAAGCAACCATTTTGGACCATGAAGTTAGATGCTAAGAGTTATGAAGAAGCAGAAGACCAGGATCAGTGTCTCTGATGACCAGTTCTACACTGCCTACTTCTAGGTTTCTTTACATGACAGAGGAACTTCTATTTTATTTCAACTATTAATGTTCGTTTGTTGTAAGTCGCTAAACTTAATCCTAAGTAACAGGTACACTACATCATATCAACTGCTGGGACACACAACATTTCAGACCCCAACTTGATTCCTGGGATATTCCTTTTAGCGGAAAAAAAGGAAAATCACTTTCCAAATTGCAAACGTAAGCAGCCAGTTTCCATTCCTTCTGAACAGAATCAGCTTGGCTTTCGTGCTCACTGAAACAGCCTTATAGGGAGGTCTGCGTGACAAGCAGGCCCCAACAATGGTGGCTCACATTAGGGGTCCGTGACAGGTGGGGAAACAGTAGAGAAGTGGGATGCGAGTAGGGAAGGAGATGTGACCCATCTCTGATGGCAGGCAGTGAGCACGAACAGAACCCTAAGATCGGGACACCAGCCATTGCAAATTTAGGTCAGTATGGACAGAGGGGAAATAAGGCAACATCTCTTTTTAAAATTTGGGATTTCTGCCTCCTACCAGCTGCTCTGATCTCACTATCCCTAGGCCAGATGGCGGTCTCCTCCCTTACCATCCCCTACCCCAATCCCTGACAGAGAGAGAGGGTGGAGGCCAGATGCTGAAAACCTGGGGAACGCTGACTCAGCCCCACTTGTCCACAGTTTACAGTGCTTGGCTGACCACCTCCATCTCCCGGCCTCAGTCTCCTCACCTGTAAAGCGGGCCGCTGGTGGAAGAAGCTGACAGCTCTTCGGGCTGCTTTTCCAGGTGGATGGGGAATCTGAGCCATGCACTCCTCGACCGGGCCTCGGCTCTGCCAGAGCTGCCTCCGTTCTCAGCCTAACCAATTCCTCGCCCCCTCAACCCCCGTCCCCCGCCCCCGCTCCTGCCGCCGCTTCGGTCCCCCACCCAGCGTCTCCCATCCCGCAGCCCCCATTCTCCCGCGGCCTCACCCTCCTCGGACAGGTAGCGCAGGTCGTAGAACTCGCCCGCGAAGGTGCCGTAGGAGGAGTCGTGG